AAAAAAAAATCAATAGGGTCCCTTTATAGTAAAGAAAGTCTCATTTGCTTAGGAAGTATATAATCAAATATCACTGCATTTTCAAATTCAAAGATGTTCATGAGTTGGCAACTAGGAATTAACTGAGGCTGTCATTAGATTAGCAATTCTGGAAGTTTTTCTCACTGGGAGTAATGGTGGAGGAGCATTCGCCCCTGGAAACTCCTCTGTCCCTGGCTCCCTGTCCTCCTGTCTCTGGGGTTGGAGCAAGTCTCCATTGGGAGAGGCTGTAGAAGGCAGTCACACTCTAGACGTATGTATGAAGTGTGACAATACTAAATTCAAAAATTTAATTCTTCTGCTCTGAAAATGTCACTTGGAAAGACTCCAGGGTTCATGCATCATCTGTTTGTTCTTATGGCCTCTGTCATATGAGGATAGCATTTAGCATTAGTTACACATTTATGTGAGAATGAAAAATGATCTGGTCAAGAGGATATAGTACACTAAGACTTGGGTTTTCTATACTGAGAAAGTGTGAATATGAAAATGAAAAGCTGGCGTCTGATTTGGTGTGTGTGACTGCCGCATCTGAGCACACAGTTAGTTTTTACATTTTTGTTTTTGTTAAATGAGCCTCAACATACTTCCTGGTCTGGAGTGAGCAGATAAGAGTATGGGGAATGAATAGAAAAACCCTGCAGCAGGAACTGCTCTAATTTTCTGCAGGATTGGACCTAATGTCACTGACTTCCTAGAAATAATCTTATGTGATGCTTCATACCTCCTGCACACGAACACACACACACAAACGCACAGAGATGGCCCAGGAAGATTTAAGACTATATGGATGATACCTGAAAATGAAATTTTATTGTTAAAATAAATTGAAAATATGTTCAATTTTATATTGGATATAAGTGTTTTGATTTTCTTTTACATCACAAATCCTAACAACAGTAACCTCTCTTAGAGTCTCATAAAGTAAAACTTCATAATCAACTTAATTCTAACCAGTCCACACCAGATTTCTGATGTGAATCACAGTCTGTTTAGCTTCTTGTCTTTACATTGTGATGGGAGAGCGGATACCAGTGAAGGTTTTTGTATTGGAAGGAACCTCATGGAAAGTCAGGTGAATAATGCAGGAGCCTGGGAGTGTTGTGATCAGAGACTTACAAAATTAAAATTAGAATTTTTCTCTGTTGGAACCAAAACGGGTATTATTTTTTTCAGTAAAGGCTATAAAATTACTTAATGAAAAAAATGAGTGTAATTGATTATACATGTCATAAGATACTCAGTTAATACTAACTCACAGCACAGTTAATAACATCTTTATTCCATTAAAACAACTTATTACTCCAATGTTCCAGCATTCTTTATGCACATTCAAAACCCTTATTGTGGCCTGAGTTCATTCCCTGGAGAAGACGCTGACCTAAAGGGTGCAATAGACCTCTCCTGTCTAACCTGATGCTTCCCTCAGCTGTGTATTTCCATAGGTAAACCTGTTCTGCTCTCCATCTGTCTCTGGTGAATCTTCTCATCCCCGCCTCTGGTCTGTACTCCAATTTTTCTACACTGGAAATAAATAAAAATAAAAATAAATAACATCTATATGCAAAATGCATTTGAGCTATTGAAATACATTCAATGAAAGAGAATGGAGTCACGTCACATTGTAGAGCAAGACTGGATTCTGGAACTAAGATAGCTGTGTGTGTGACTCATCTTTAGGGAGTTAACTGAGGAGTCAGCAGAAAGAACAGATAGAAATTTTGACATTTTAATATTTTAATTGCAGTTAAGGTTCTTAGACTCCTTTATGTCTACAGTCCCCTTGCATGATTAAAACATAAATGGACAAAACGGCCCTCCCTGGTGGCGCAGCGGGTTAAAGCACAGCACTGAGAATCTAAAGCCGCTTCCGCATGAGTTCGATTCCCGCCTGCCCCGGAGGTGACCACATGGCGTGGCAGACCTCTCCTGACCCTCCCGCTGCTCCCCTCAGCAGTGTACTTCGTTGATCTGCCTGTTCTGTTCCCCACTCTGTCTCTGGTGAAGCCTCTCGCCGCCCCTGAGCCTCTGGCCTGTACCCCAGTTCTGTATGCACAAATAAATAAATCTTTAAAAAAAAAAAAACATAAATGGACAAAAACATCAATAGTTACAAATGTGCTATTAGTCATCTCTTTGGAACAACAAATTTAAATATCTTTGTTTTCCAGACAATATATTGGTTCAATACTTATTAAATATTTTCATGAAAAGAATAAACATAATGTTCTATATTATTTAAAACAATTGGATCAACACACTTGAGTAACTCCATGAAATATTAACAATATTTCTAAGCTTTTTAGTGTTAGGTATTTGTCTTAAAAATAGCAGGTAATTTATTTGGTGAGAGATAAAAATGTCAGATTAACCATTTGGAAAAATTCAGGTTTTTAGCAAAATCGATGAAAAACAAAAGGAGGATATGTAAAATAAGAGCAATTCTAAAGATGTATGTTTCACAGCACAAAGCATTTTTGTAGTAATTTCTCCAAGGCCACCTTAACATCCTTGTTTCTCAAACAATATATAATAGGGTTTAACATTGGTATCAAGATAGCATAAAAAAGAGAAAGGAATTTGTCTATTCCTGTTGAACGATTGGTGTTAGACTTGAAATACACAGTGATGCCTGAGCCAAAGAACAAAGTCACAACCGTGAGGTGGGAACAACAAGTGGAGAAGGCCTTGGCTCTCCCAGTGGCTGATGGCAGCTTCAGGATAGCGGAGACTATTTTCACATAAGATGTAACAATCAGTAAAGAAGGAACACAGGCAACCAGTGCAATAATCAGATGCATCAACATTTCAACCCTGAAACCATCCACACAAACAAGCTGGACAACTGCAGGTGCATCACAGAAAAAGTGATTCAACTGTTTACATTCACAGAAGGTTGAAGAGAAGACCACAGAGGTGAATCCTATATGGATTGGAATTACAGTGGTCCAGCAGACAGCTGCCAGCTGAATACACAGCCTGTTGTTCATGATGACAGGGTAGAGAAGTGGGTTACAGATGGCCACATACCTGTCATAAGCCATGGCAGTGAGGATAAAACACTCAATGTCTCCCAGGACCAGAAAGAAATACATTTGAATAGCACAGTCCAGCTGTGAAATATTTCCATATTGTCTACAGAGGTCTGTTAATAATCTGGGGACAGTAACTGACACATAACAAATTTCCAAAAAAGAAAAATTTCGAAGGAAGAAATACATGGGGGTCTGGAGGGAAGGATCAACCTTAGTTATCATGATGATGAGGCTGTTTCCCAAAAGAATAAAGATATAGATTATCAGAAACACAACAAAAAGAAATCCTTGAAGGTTGGGCACATCAGAGAACCCAATCAGGATGAATCCCACCAATGTGGTGTGGTTCCCCAGTGAGGAGTTCTGTCCTGGGCATTCCATTGATGGTCCAAATGACTTCCAATCTAATAGTTAATGCAATCCTTTGGTTTGGTTGGCAATTAGATGGATTATATGACTGGGGTCAAATCCAATTTGGATAGGATAGATGTCATTTTCTTCTTTGCTTTGTATTTTGGGCAATACATTTCAAATTCAATATCCTAAAAATGCAAGATATTAAAAGAGATAATCTATTTGCATGATCACATTGAAAATTATGGCTATGCCACTAACACTACAAACTAGATGATGACAATGAAGAGCAAAGTATCAGGGAAACTCTTCTCAAAAAGCTCTAGGCACCCTGGGACCTTCTCTACTGAGAAATGTTTCTCTTTCCTGCTAATTTAGTCTTTCGTCTCTTCATTTTTCTTTCTTTCTTTTTTTTTTTTTTTTTTGTCTAGCAACATTTTTTTATAGTCTGCTGATGACAATGAAGAGCAAAGTATCAGGGAAACTCTTCTCAAAAAGCTCTAGGCACCCTGGGACCTTCTCTATTGAGAAATGTTTCTCTTTCCTGCTAATTTAGTCTTTCGTCTCTTCATTTTTTTTTCTTTCTTTCTTTTTTTTTTTTTTTGTCTAGCAACATTTTTTTATAGTCTGCTGATATTTCTTGTACATTGATTTTGAGCTTTCTTTTAGTTGTTACTCTCAGGCAAGGGGCAAGGTGGTCAGTAAGCCTGCCACTGTCTGGTCCACCACAACCAACCAGCCACCCACCAGGATTAATACTGGAAACATTGCACTTAGCAAGTCATATATGCACATGAAGTTGTAAATATGAAATCACTTAAGATTTTATTATTTTATCTCTGAAATACAAATAAATCCCCACTCCTATAAAAATCTAAGATATTCCAAACTTTAGGTTTTTAAATTAATAATAAAGCTTATCCTTTGGGGAAGTAATTAGGCAAAAACAAAAGGAAAATTAAGCATGTCAGACAACTTGAGTAGAATGTTCAAAGAAGAGATCAGGTATATGTAAAATCTGGCATAGTATCTGTTGCACTACTTTTAGCAGAAATTTGAAATTTCCATCCATCGATTCATTACATATTATTAGTAATACATAATGTATAATATGTCACCAATTATCTATTGTGATTAATATTATGTGCATAATATACACTGATTATCTCCAGCTAAAATTAGGAACACATTGCTAATTGCAGTGTAATTTACTCTAATCATCTCCTAAAATATAAGCATATTTATTGCATATTTATGTGTTTAGTAATTCCTGCACTGTGCTGAATCCTATATCTTAATTTCTGTTATTTCCATCATTTTTGTGGCATTTACTCATGGAAAGCAATGACTATTCTCAGATTGTCTTATAGTCTGAAATCCACACTGTTAGTGTTTCGAGCTACAGCAAATTTCCATTTCTGTACCCAAAAAATGCCTCCCTCTCTTCCTCTGTGACACAAAACTCCTGCTTTCCCACAAATCCAAACCAACTAAACAACTTATGATTTCTACATTTGGCATCTTGGTCTTCTAACCCTAATCCATTTTCTTTTGAGTTGAAGGAATCCTGAATTCTGTATTTAATTTCTCAAATCATACCTTTGAGACAAACCTCCTTATGGCTCAGCTGTATTTCTGACTCATATTTCCTAACTGAAGGGATCAAAGACCTGGGATTTTGAGATGCAAAGAGTATGCTCTCTAACTGAAACCATAGTCTTCTCTGATCACTGTTTGATTCTCTGTACCTTTATTTTGCTTGAATACATATCTGTAGTAAATTTTCCATATTATATTTTCCTCAATGAATATTTATTACAACTTCCTAATTTAAATATATATGCTATACATTTGTAAAAATAACTATAACAATAAGATAAATGAATTTTTATTGACTCAAAATGTTTCAAGTGTATCAGGCAGTCAAGCAATACCTATTTTATAAGAGTAACTATAGCTTATTGTAAATAAATATGAAGTTCATGTTAAAACAAGTGTGTCCATTAGTAAAGACAGTAATAATAGCAGTGGTGAATCCTGTGATTCCAGTCATGTTTACAGAGCTTACACACCAGTGGTAGAGACAAGAAGGTGATCAGATGTCATCCTAGTAAATGATCTATGTGGGGACAGTTACCTGGTCTTGCAGGAGGGTCACATTCCTAAGTAAATGACATCACTCTGCGATTTTTGTCAGCTCACAGAATCATGCTGGTTTTTATCACCTTTATGGAAAGAGAATAAACATTATTTCCAGAAAAATAATCTTGATACTAATTTAGTTCTATATCTCAAAAATCGTTTCCAATGTGAACATTTTGGAAATATCTGCTGATGGGTCACTGTAAATTATTTCCCACTGACTCACCTTATTGGCTAGGAAAGTAAAAGACCACTGAGCACAGAAATTTGTACTCAATTACATAAAAATAAGGAATACTTACATAGTAGGTATTTCTCTAAATTATCAAGGCTTAATTGCCTTTGTTGAAAATATAATACATAATAATACATATACATAATAATACATAACTGAGTTACTTTGAGGAGTAAGAGATATAATCCATGGAAAAGCCTGGGTTAAAAGATGCAGTTGTAGTTCTGTTAGCACTGTTATAATGTTTATGATACATATTTGTATCTATCATTAGTACTTTATCTTATATCCCTCTATTTTATCTTAAAGTTTGCCTATCTATGTTCAGTCAACTTCCCAGGATTTCCTCACTAGGGCATCTGATTTCTGTTGGCACTGCGAGCCTCCCATTTGCCTAAGTTCCCAATGCCCAGAGATGTACATAATGTGCCCCAATGTCAGAAGCGGGTGTCTGACCCAGGTGACCTAGCTCAACAGTTATCAGACACCACATTCCTATTCAGAACTCAATGATTGTCATAAAACATTCAAGAGAAGTGATTTTGAATGCACTATTCTGAGAAAGATGAGTAAAAATAAGTTATAGAAAAATTTTACAGGAGCAATTTGATTCCATCTCTATTTTATATATTCTGTTTGCCTTTAAAATGCAAAGCTGATTATTTATATAGTGTCTATTTGAAGTTCAGGAAATATGACATGTTGATTTTATAGCAAAAGAAAATATATGTTCAATGATTTATGAGTACTGGGACAAAAATGGACTATAACAGAATAAGTAGAATAAAACAATTGTTGATTACCTTTCTCATATTTTGGAGAAATCACTGAGCTGCACTTTTTGTAGGGTGAGCTGTGATGTGATACTAACTTGTGGTTTTAATTAAGAGTAACAAAATAACAATTGTTTTTCTTGCTTGAACTCATACTTTACTTAAACCAACAGGGCACCTTTATAGTGAAGAGTGTCTCGTTGGCCCTGGGGAAGGCATCTCCAAGAATTGTCGCATTTTTAAAGTCAATGATGTTTATGAATTGGTAACTAAGAAATAACGGAGGCTGTTGCCTGGAAGGTTCTCTCACTGGGAGTAAGGGCAGAGCCACAAGTGGCTACTCTTTGTCCCTGACACCTCATCTTTCTGTCTCTGGGGATAAAACATGTCCCAGTAGGAGAGACTGTAGAAGGCATCACAGTCCTAACTTTGGTCTTCACCTATGTATGAGATGTGAGGATAATGCATTTCAAATTATCAAAAATCATTTCTTCTGCTCTGAGAAATCCACTTGGAAAACTCCAGAGCTCATGCATCTTCTGTTTGTTCTTAAGGCCTCTGAGCATATGAGGACAATATTTAGCATTACTGACAGCATTTATATGAGAATGAAAAAAATGATTTTGTAAAGAAGATATAGCACACTATGTCTTGAGTTTTAGATATTGAGAAGATATGAGTGTTAAATAAAATTTGTTGGCTGTCTTGGCGTGTGTGACTGCCACATCCGAGTACACAATTTCTATTTTTATAGGTGCTAAATGAGCCTCAGCATACTTTCTGGTCTGGGTTGAGCAATAAGGCTATGGGGGAAATAAATAGAAAAACCCTTCAGGAGGAACTGACCCCCTTTAATTTTCTCCAGGATTGGACCTAATGTCACTGACTTCCTAGAAATAATTTTATATGATGTTCCATAACCCTGGACACACTCACACTAGCTTCTAGAGTCTGCATTATTTGATACTTTTAGAAGATCGGGATGTGGGTCACACATCACACACTCTGTGTTACAGACTCATTCTTCTCTGTAATCACACATAACCCCATGTAAATTATTTGGTTGTCCCTGCAATGTCTTAGCATTCTTTATGTGCACGCAAAAACTATATGTTGTGGCCTGAGTTCAATCCCCAGCCAGGGAGTGACCCAGTTGGCACGGCCAACCTCTCCTGCCTTGCTTGTGTTCCTCTCTGCAGTGTATTTCAGTGGATCTGCCTGTTCTGCTCCCCATTCTGTCTCTGCTGAATCCTTTCTCCTTTGTGTCTCTGGCCTGTACCCAGTTCCTTTACACAAAAAAGAAATAAAAATAAATGAGCCCTATATTAAAAAATGTAACTGAGCTTTTAAAATAAACGCAATGAAGTTGAACGGATTCCTCATATTCTATAGAAAGAATGGATTCTGTAACTAAGATTGCTGAGCCCAGTTGCATGTGTGATCTACTTTTAGGGAGTTACTGAGGAATCAGCAGTAACAGAAGATAGAAATTTCAACTTTTAGCATGTTAGTTACAATCAACTCCGTGGATTCCAAACTTTATGTCTACATTACTTTGTATACTTACAATGTAATTTGGAAAATACAAAAATTTAAGTTATACCTGTGTTATCAGTCATCTTTTTGGGGCAACAAGTTTAATTAAACATCTTTGTTTATCCATAGAATATATTGGTTGAAGAATTATATAGTAAATACTTATCATAAAAAGAATAAATAGATAATGTCTATAGTATTTAAAACAATTGGATAAGAAAACTTTAATGAGTTCATAATATTTAACAATATTTCTAAACATTATATTGAGTTGGGTATTTGAAATAAAAATAACAGGTTGTATATTTTAGGACAGATACAAATATGCAATAATTCATTCAGGAAAATTCAGATTTCTAACAAAATTGATACTTATTAAAACAGCAAATATATAAAATAAGGAACAACTCTAAAGATGTTATGTTTCTAAATCACAGCACAATACATTTTTGTAGTAATTTCTCCAATGCCACCTTAACATCCTTGTTTCTCAGACAATATATAATGGGGTTTAACATTGGTGTGAAGATAGAATAGAAAAGAGAAAGGAATTTGTCCATTCCTGTTGAGTGATTTGACTTAGGTTTCATATACACAATAATGCCTGAGCCAAAGAATAAAGTCACAACTGTGAGGTGGGAAAAACAAGTGGAGAAGGCCTTGGCTCTCCCAGTGGCTGATGGCAGCTTCAGGATGGTGGAGACTATTTTCACATAAGATGCAACTATAAGAAAAGAAGGGATACTAGCAACTAATGCAGTAATCATATACAGCACCATTTCAACCCTGAAAGCATCCCCACAGACAAGCTGAACAACAGGAGGTGCATCACAGAAAAAGTGATTCAACTGGTTACATCCACAGAAGGTTGAAGAAAAGACTACAGAGATCAAGAATGTATGTATTGGAATAGCCATTGACCAGCAGGCAACTGCCAGCTGACCACACAGCTTATCGTTCATGATGACAGGGTAGAGTAATGGGTTGCAAATGGCCACATACCTGTCATAAGCCATGGCACTAAGAATAAAGCACTCAGTCCCTGACAAGATCAGAAAGAAATACATTTGAATAGCGCAGGCCAACAGAGATATATTTCCATATTGTCTACAGAGGTCTGCTAATAATCTGGGGACAGTAACTGACACATAACAAATTTCCAACAGTAAGAAATTCCTAAGAAAGAAATACATGGGGGTCTGGAGGGAAGAATCAACCTTAGTTATCATGATGATGAGGCTATTTCCTGAGAGAATAAACACATAGATTATCAGAAACACCGCAAAAAGAAATCCTTGAAGGTTGGGCACATCAGAGAACCCAACCAGGATGAATTCCACCAATGGCGTGTGGTTCCCCAGTGAGGAGTTCTGTCCTGGGCATTCCATCAATGGTCCAAATGACTTTTAGCCTTATTAATCAATTCAATCCTTGGCTTGAGTTGAACATTAGATGTATCATAGGACTGGTGTCAAATCCAATTTGATAGGATGGATGTCATTTTCTTCTTTGTTTTATATTTTGGGGAATACATCTCAAATGTCCTAAAAATGCAAGATATTAAAAACAGATTATCTATTTTCGTGAACACATTGGAAATTATAGTTTTGTCACCAACAATATAAAATAGATGACAATGAAGTCAGAGCAAAGCATCCAGGGGCCACTTCTCAAACAGCTCTAGGTAACCTGAGACCTTCTCTACTGAGAAATGTTTCTCTTTCTTGATTAATTTGATCTCTTCCTTTTTTCTATTTTTATTTCTGTCTAGCAGCACTGAATTTATAGTCTGTTGATATGATTTGTACATTAATTTTGAAGTTGCTTCTTTGTTACTCTCAGGCAACCCAAGAACAAAGTGGTCAGTAAATCTCCACAGTCAGCCCACTGCAATCAAGTTGGCCATATTATAGTGCAAATATTGCAATGAGCAAGCCCTAGTTGCACATAAAGCCCAAAATATGAAATAAATTAAGATTATATGATAATATCATTTTAATTCTAATATATCCTGGCTATTACAAAATTATAAGATTTTTCAAATGTTAGGCTTTTAGTAACAATCAGATAAGCTTATCCTTTGGGGATTAATTAGACAAAGAAAAGGTACTTGAAGCCATGTCAAAGAATTTGAACAGAGTTCAGACATGAGTAAAACCTGCCATAGTATCCTATGTTTGATAATAATTTTGAATATCTGTCCATCTATACAACCATCATATAAATGTATTAATATATATCGTATATATCACAATTAATATATTTGATGGATATACAATATGATTATCTGAAAACTCTAATGATCTCCATTCAAATTTAGAAACACACTGAAAATTGCAGTGTAACTTATCCTAATAATCCCTTAAAATGTAAGTATTTTTAGGCCCTCCCTGGTGGCGCAGCGGGTTAAAGCATTGCACTAAGAAGCTTAAGCCACTTCCACATGAGTTTGATCCCCGCCTGCCTCGGAGGTGACCATGGCGCGGCAGACCTCTCCTGACCCGCCCACTGCTCCCCTCAGCAGTGGACTTCGTTGATCTGCCTGTTCTGCTCCCCACTCTGTCTCTGGTGAATTCTCTCACCCTCCACATCTCTGGCCTGTACCCCAGTTCTGTATGAATAAAGTAAATAATCTTTAAAAAAAATGTAAGTATTTTTATATCAGGAAATAGTAATTCCCCTTTGTGCTGAATACTACATCTTAATTTTTTATTTACTTATTTTGTAGCATTTATTCAAGTAAAACAATGACCTATTCACAGATTGTCAGAGTCCGAAATCCACTTTGTTTTCAACTACAGTCATTTCCATTTCTGTAGGATACAACTCCCTTTCTTCCTTTGTGATACCAAGCTTCTCCTTATCCACAAATCTAAACCCATGAAACAGTTTATAATTTGCACATTCTATTTCTTGTTTATCTTAACCCTAATTCCCTATCTTCTCAGTTCAAGGAACCCTGAATTCTGTCTCTAGTTTCTCAAATCACACCCTCAAGACAAACATCCTCTGTGTTTATGACTCACATTTCTGAACAAAAAGGATCAAGGACCTGGGATTTTGAGATTCAGAGTATGCTCTCTAAACTGAAGCCATAGTTTTCTCTTGGGTTTCAATGTTTGATTCTCTGTACCTTTATTTTCTCTGAATTCACAATTTGGTAGTTTTGTTCCCATATTGTACCATCTCAGACTTTGAATATTCTACCTTTCTGGTATTTGTACATAGACTAAATCTTTGAAAAACAACTATAGCAATTAGAGAAAATTTTTTCATTGACTCAAAATGTTTCAAATGTATCAGGAAGTCAAACAATACATATTTGATAAGAATCACTATAACTTATTGTGATTAAGTATGAAGGGCATATTAAATAAAAGTGTGTCCATTGGTAAGGATAGTAATAACAGTGGTGAATCCTGTGATTTTTGTCATGTTCACAGAGCTTACCCACCAGTGGTAGAGGCAGGCAGGAGGTGAGATGTCACCCTAGAAAATGCAGAGATACATATGGGAGAGTTATCCATTTTAGTTCAAGGTATCCCAAATTTTATCTTTCTTTTCTCAATTCAGACTCTCAAGACAAACCTCCTCATGGCTCGTATGATCTTATGACACATTTCAAACAGAAGGGATCGAGAATTGTGGATGATTGAGATTCAGAGAGTATGCTATATAAACTGGAACCATAGTCTTCTCTTGATCTCTATGCTTAATTCTCTGAAACTTTGTTTTTTCTGAATGCAGAACTGGGTAATTATGTTTCCATATTGTATTTTCTAAAATTTTGAAAATGTATAACACCTTCCTAATTTTTATATATGTAATAAGCTACACCTTTGAAAAACAACTATAGCAAGGAGCGATATGAATTTTCATTGTCCCAAAATGTTTCAAATGTATCAGACAAAGCACATATAGGTACTGATAACTACTATGCTTTATTGTGGATAAATATTAATTGCATGTTAAATAAAAGTTTGTCCTTTGGTAAGGATAGTAGTAATAGTAGTAGTTAATCTTATTATTCCAGTCATCTTTACAGATCTTAGCCATCAGTGGTGAGGTGATACAGGGAAGTCAGGTGTCACCCTAGAAAGTGCAGATCTATGTGGGGAGAGTTACCTGGTCTTGGGGGAGGCCACATTTCTAAGAAAGTAACATCGCTCTGAGATTTTGTCAGATCACAGAATCATGCTGTATTACCCCTTTAAAGAAAGAGAATAAACATACTTTCCCATAAAACAGGTACTCATGCTCACTCAGTTTTATAACCCAAATGCCTAGTGTTTACAATGTGAATGTTTTAGAATTAGCTTTCGACAGGTAATTGGAAATTATTTCACACTGAATCACAATATTGCCCAAGTAATTAAACATTCACTGTGTAAAGAACTTCATATTTAATTACATTAAAAAATAGAACTGTTTGGGTAATATGTATTTATCTAATTTATCAAGCTTTAATTTTCCTTATTGAAAATATACAAAAAATATAGTCATAATGTATGCATAAATAAAAATTATTTAAAATTTGAAAAAAGAAATATAGAGCCTTATTATTATGTAAATAAGGGAATTATTTTGTAGAGGAAGAGATATAATCCATAATAAGAAAAAGTCTAATTTAAAAGAGTCATAATAATATGTAACTGAGTTATTTTGATAAGAGATATAATCTCTATAAGAGCATAGGTTAAAGGTCACGTCACAGATGTAGTTCTTTGAGGCATTTTTATGTTTATCACATATATCATGTCTATCATTACTTTATCTGATAGCCTTTTTTCTTTATCTTAAATTTTGCTTATCTTATATTCAGTAAACACTACCAGATTTCCTCACTAATGCATCTGACTTTTGTAGGCACTATCAGTATCACATTTTGCCCAAGTTCCTATTCATAGAGATGTAAACAACCTGCTGCTCATTGTAAGGAAGTGGTGTCTCACCCAGGTGACTTAAATCAGCAGTGTGCTCAGACCCCACATCTGAATCAGAGTTCAATAGCTGTCATAGAGCTCTCAATGAGAAGTGATCTTTGAATGAACTATTCTGAAAAAGATGAGTAAAACTAAGTTAAATAAAAATTTTGCAACAGCAAGTTAATTTCCTCTCCATTTTACATATACATGATACGATAAGAATCGGAAAATAGTACTTATATAATGTATATTTGAAGTACAGAAAACTATACTGAGAAATTAATTTGAATTGCAAGGAAATATATTTTCAATGATTTTTTTAATTATTAAGATAATACACACTATCATAAAACAAGCAGAGTAAATAATCACTGCCTACCTTTTTCATATTGTGAAGACATCACTGAGCTGGATTTTTTATAGGCTAATATGCTATGGTTTTAATTATGAGTAAAAAATTATTGCTTTTCTTCCTTGAATTCATACTTTATTTAAACCAACAGTGTACCTTTATAGTAAAGAGTATTTCTTGCTCTGGGGAATGCATGATCCAAGTATTATGCATTTTTAAATTCAAAGATGTTTATGAGTTGCTAACTAGGAAATAACTAAGGCTGTCCCTTGTTGGATTAGCAATGCCTGGAAGGTTCTCTCACTGGAATATGCTTGAGGGGCATGAGCCCCATGGCTACTCCTTATCTCTGGCTCCTCAACCATTCTCTTGTCTCAGAGGTGCACAGCAAGTATCCATTGGGAAAAAACTGTAGAAGGCATTTGCAGTCTTAATGTTGGTCTAGATCTATGTATGGACCCTAAAGATACTAAATTTCAAATTATCAAAATATTTTTTTCTGCTCAGAACATGTCACTTGGAAATATTCCAGAGCTCACCCATCATCCGTTTGTTCTATGATGATAGAATTTAGCCTTAGTTACAGGCATATATAAAAACAAACAAAAAAAAATTGATTGGTCAGGAGGATAGCACACCAAGTCTTGAGTCTTATAGAGAGAGAAGGTATGAATGTGAAAATCAAAAGTTGGTGTCTGACTTGTTGTGTGTGACTGCCATATCTGAATACACATCTGTATTTTTCTAGACTAAATGACCCTCAGCATAACTTTCTGATCTGTACTGAGAAGATAAGACCATGGGGAAAACAAACAGAAAAAGCTTGCAGGGAAACTGACCTGCTATTTTTCCCAAGGGTTGTACCTAATTATCATTAGAAATAATCTTATGTGATGCCCAAACACATGTGCACACACACATACACAGAGACAGCCCATTTATGTTTTAGTAATATAAGTTTGATACTTGAAGATAAAATTTTCATTGTATAAAGAAATTGAAAATAAGTTCATTTTTTATTGATTAGAAGTTCTTTGATTCTCTTTTGTGTCACAAATCCCAAAATCAATAACCTTTGTTAAAGTGAATTATGAAACAAAACCTAATAATC